CCTGTATGTGCTGTAGCAGCGGGAGTGAGGCTGATCCATCCTGGCCATCAGAGCTCCCCATGGTGCTTCTGCTGCCAAGGTTGCTCCTGGCTGCGAACTCCTCTGCTGCCCCCAAATTTGCCCTTGGACCTTCTTACTAAAATCCTGATAAGCTCCTCCACCACCTTCCCTTCATCCGTGAGGTGGGAGACGGTGTGGAAGGATCAGATCCATTAGGAAATGGTCTTGCAGGGATTTTACAAGGAATTCCTTGCCTTGACATTGGTCATCCCAAAATCCACATGATGGAAGCCAGCAGCAAATTGTTTTTAGTCAGGGATGCCTTTTCCCATGGAAAAGAGGGAAGTTTGATCCCATACCATCCCAAAGCATCAGTGGATGTGTACGATGGTCCTGCTGCAACCTGGGATGTCTGGCTGAGTATCCTCTTCCTTCTGGGATTTGAGGATAACAGTGGGTTTTGCTGAATCTTCCCTTCCTGGCCTGGAGCAAATCACATGGCAGCGGAGTCATCTTCATGTTGGGAAGGGTTTGCTTCCAGAAATTCCTTTGGCAGAGATTTTCAGTTCTTTTCGGAGCTGCTTTGGGTTCCAAGTGGGAGTTTTTTACCTCCTATCAGGAGCTGGGACATGCTGGTGGCTCCTTCACTCATGTCCTGATAGTCCTTAACCATTTTAATTTTTTCCCTCATGCCTGTTTGGAAAGAACAATTTGTTTTAGCAGAGGTTTTTTAGTCTCTGCTTTGCTTTTTTTCTGTGGGGTAGTTCTGCTTCATCCCTTTACTCTCTGCGGTTTTCCCCGGTGCTGGGGACAATCCTGGCACTGAATCCAAGGTTCAGCTTCTGCTCCCCAATTTGCATTCGTCCCTGCTCCCGTCTTGCTTCCAAGTGCTGGAAGATCAATGTACCTGTCACTCACTGCTTTCCGTCTCGCCTCCGATCAGGATTAATGGCACAGCTCGGCACTGAGCCCCGATGGAGACACACGGGAGGGGTCGTGGTGGCCAAGGATTGACAATGGGAGACCTTGTGGTGCCCAGGTCATTACTTAATTTAGTTCTTTTCTCCATTCCTGTGCCCCTACACGAAGGTTTTCTATCCCATATCCTGCTCCTAAAGCAGCAGTAATCCCTTGGATTTGGGAATCTGCCCTCCTGAAGTTCCCCTTGCTTATTTAACTTCCTTTTTCCCATCAGTATCTGAACAGGATTTACTCCACCATTATTGTGGTTTTCCTAATCCATCCTGAGCAGTATCATCTTCCTCTTGCCTCATGGATTCAGAATCACATAATCATGGAATAATCATTAAGGAAAAGAGCTCTGAGATCATCAAGTTCAAATGTTGACTCAGCACTTCCAAGGCCACCACTAAACTCTGTCCCCAAGTGCCACATCAACACGACTTTTTGGGACATCTTTCACTAGACCAGGTTGCTCCAAGCCCCATCTAATCCATGGGCAAGCACAACTTCTCTGGGCAACCTGTGCCAGGGCCTCCCCACCCTCACATGGAAGAATTCCTTCCCAATATTCCATCTAACCCTGCCCTCTGGCAGGAGGAAGCCATTCCCCCTTGTCCTGTCGCTCCAGGACCTTGTCCAAAGTAATTTTCCACCTTTCTTTTAAGCCTCTTTTAAAAGAAGGTTTCTCCAGGTGAAATATTCCAGGAGCAAACTCTTTTTGTGCCCTCCCTGCTTCAGCTTCCCCAGGGGGCCAATTCCTGGTACTTCTCTCAGGAAAATAAGAGAAGAACTAAGGACCCTTGCATCTCCAACCCCTTTCCTAAGGGATGCGTGTGTGGTGGCTCCTGGATCCTACCTGCTTGAAGCACCCTGGCAAGATAATTTGGCAACAAATTCCCCATCTCAAGGTCAGCATTGGACAAGAGGAAACAGCTTTAAGTTGTACCAGGGGAAGTTTTGTTTGGATATTTAGGAAAAATTTCTTGACTGAAGGGATGCTTGGGCTGCCCAGGGAAGTGATGGAATCATCATTCCTTGAGGGGTTTAAAAGCCCGTGTGGATGTGGCACTTGGGGACATGGTTTAGTGGTGGCCTTGGCAGCACTGGCTTGGTGACCTTAGAGGTCTTTTCCAGCCTTAACAATTCTACACTTAGAGTTTACACCAGGAATTTTTTTTTCCTTGGGAACAGGAGGCGCGAGCGGCGCCCGCGGGATTCGCGGCTCCACAGAAAGCCCCGAGCTCAGCAGCGCGCGGCCCTGGCTGATAAATGATGCTCATATCCCATTCGAATATGATGCAAGCAGTTTTTTTGTAGTTTGTCTTCCATGGCGGTAGTAAAGTTTTTAATTAGGAAAGCTAATGAGATCGATTAGTCATTAGAAGTGACCTCTGGATCGCGGCGAGGAGTGGGGATGTGTGCGCCGGGCTGATAACGGGGGACGCTGGGGTATTGTTTGTAATAAAAGCGTGAAGTGTTTGATTTGAGTGAAATGTGCCACGGGGAATACATCACGCGGAGAGGAAAAAATTACAACCCTGGGAGCCTGTAATGAAGGGAATTAAACCAACATCCTGTCTAAATAACATGATTATCTACACAAAACCCCTCAGCTAGCAAGTAATAATAGAAAACGGAGCTCTTCGGAGAGGCTCTTTGAGGAGGTGGTTAATGCTGGAGTCGCGCATCAGGCACTTTCCAAGGAGCAGCTTCGGAATGAATACACCATCCAATTACCTCTGGGAATAGAGTTTACCAGGTGCCAGCCTGTTTTGGGGAAGGAGGAGGAGGAGGGGGATGCCTGCAATAATTTGGGATCTCTCTTTCTTGTCAGGCAGGAGTTTGATGCAATTCTGGGTTGATTGGAGGCAGCTCAAGCTTGTGTGGGGGGCAAAAAGATGTTAATTATGTATTCAGCAAATTCCCAGCTTAGTTATTCTGTGAGGTTGGAGTGGAGGAGGGAAAGGGGCAACTTGTGCTGTTGCTGGTTGGGGAGGATGTAGGATTGAGGCTCTCATCCCTTCCCCAGTGGGATGGAAGTGCTTTGGGTACATGGCTGGTACTGTATCCGTGTGAGGTTGGGTGCGTCCACATGTTCTGGGTGACAGAAGTGACAAAAGGCAGATTTAGGTGGGATACAGGGGAGAAATTCTTCCCTGCAAGTGTGGTGAGGCCCTGGCAGATGTTACCCAGAGAAGCTGTGGCTGTTCCATCTCTGGATGTGTCCAAGATCAGGTTGGACAGGGGTTGGAGCAGTCTGGGATGGTGGAAGATGTCCTTGCCCATGGCAGGGGGTTGGACTGGATGGTCTTCAAGGTCCCTTCCAACCCAAACCATTCCATGAGTTTTCATTCCATGAGATTTCAGGTCAGTCCCACCATCACCATAGCTGGGATTTCATCATGTGTGTGGTGTTGGTCCCTGCAAGGGGTTAGCACCTCTGTTCTTTTGTTGTTCCTATTTTCTTGTCCTAAATGCAGTTCCCTGAAGGAAAAAACTCCGAGTTTGCTGGTACTTGGGAGCAATTTTAAATGTAATTAGAGCTACTACTTTGCAAAAGCTTTAAAAGCCCACGCAGAGGTTTGGTCACTGCGCTGAACAATTTGATCTGCTACAAAAAAATGCTGGGATAGGGAAAGAGCAGTGAGATCCCATTTGCTTTCCATGTTCTTTCCTCTCTCCTTTCTTTCCTCACCTCTAAAGTGACCTCTGAAGTGCCTCACCTCTAAAGTGGCTGCAGTTCCTCTAAGTCATTGAATCATCAGATGGTTTCTACTGGAAGAGAACTTGGAAGATCCTTTAGTTCCATGATTTATCTCGTGGGTTCAGATTGCGGAACGTTGCGAGCGTCATCTTTACCACAAAAAATTCCAGTGATTTTTCTGTCATGGCAGAGCCTGGTTTTTGCCTTTTTCCATCACCAGGGTTGTAACTTTTTTTCTGAATTTCTGAATGGAAATTTGTGTTGCCTGATCCTCCCCAAAGCCAGCACAAGTCATCAGCTTGTTGGGAATGCTCAAGAAGGAAAATATTCCCTGTATGAAACTGTAAAGATGTGAATTGGTGTTGCCACTGTTGCAGGGCAATGGGGGAGCTGTTCCCACCTTTCTAAGGAATGGTGTCAGTTCTAAAATGCATTTCCTTATTTTTCCTAGTTTACCTGGCAATCCAACTTATTCTCCCTCCTCTCACAGAGACAAACATGGGGATGGGTCGAATGTTTTCAGTGGAAATAATGCTCCCACTTTTCCCCTCCCAACCTCTCCATGATTTTAATGAGAGGATCTCCAAGAAAAACAGCCAGCTCTTTAAATCAGTTATAAAACCCAGAGACCGAGGCTCAGCATGGAGTGTCAGCTTTAATTATCTGGGCAGTTACAGCTGTATGTTATAAAAGTCGGGCAATTAGGTGCATTCCTGAAAGCTTGGGGAAAAAAAAGGCTCACGGAGGAAAACCACAGTCAAACACAGAACTGTTAATTGCATGAAACATTCTGCAGAATAACCCGGGATGTAGATCATCCTGCAACACAGAGAATCCAGGAATGGGTAGGGTTGAAAGGGAGCTTAAAGCTCATCCAGTTCCCTATCCATGGAAGGGACCTTCCATTATCCCAGGTTGCTCCAAGCCTTGTCCAACCTGGACTTCAACACTTCTGGGGATTAAAAGTATTATGAAAACGCCAAGGATTAAAGTCAAAAGTTTATTTCCAGTGTGGATGTATGTTGGGACCAAGGTGTTGTTGGTGAATCCATAATTCCTGTGGTAGTGTTTTGCTGATGGGCTGGTGAAGCCAGTCCCAAGCACATCAAGGCCTTTCTGTTACCATCAGCTGTACTGACCCATTCCTGAAACTTCACCCCTTTTTTCAGGTGCTAAAATGTTGGATATAGGACTTGAGTTGGATGTGGGACCAATGGCCATTGAACTTGATGATCTTAAAAATTCTGTGATTCTGTGAGAATGTCAGTGAGATCCCTCCTGTGCCCATCCACACCTGAATTTCAAGCCTGTTTTTCCATGTTTTGTCTCCTAGGATCCAACTTCCACTTTGTAAGGAGCCCCCCAGCCAACAAGGTGATAAAGACGCGCTACAGGATCGTGAAGAAGAACGTGGTGCCTCCAGCCTTATCATCCTTCACCAGCCCTATTCCCACCTGGAAAACCAGGCGTCCCATTACATCCAGGTAATTCTGCCATCCCTGGAATGCAGCTGGTTGGGATGTAGGAGCCACGGGAACTCCCACGTTGGCTCCGTGTTTTTCTGTCGCATCTTCACCGTTTAATTTCTCTCTTTGTGTGGCCTACTCTGAGTTTATTGACTTAAAGTGTAAAATCATATTAGGAATTGTGTTATCCTGAGCTGGTGCCAGCAGCTTATGCCTTTGGCTTCCTATGTATTCCCTCTTGGAATTAATTGTTTCCATGGAGCAGTTAAATAAGCTGAAAAGAGGATGAATAAACGTGTGGATGTTGATGATGAAGGGGAGCACGTTGAATGCTCCAGACTTCCACGAGGATGTAGGTGCTCTCCCAAATTCATTTATTCCCAATTATCTGGATGGGTGAAACATCCAGAAATATTTTGTCACTGCCTAGAGAAGGTGCCATAACCTTGAGTTGGAATATTCCTAAATCCATAGAGGTGGAGATGTTTCCATGGAGTGTCTCAGAGGCCAAGACAAGACCTGGAGCTTGTGTAAAGCAGAAAGGTTGTTAAAATAATTGATTCTTTAGAACAAGGTGTGATTAGAAGCTATGGGTTTGGTGAAAGTACAGATTTTGGCTATTTTTAGGTCAGGAATAGCTTGTCTTCCCACTGAAATGCCAGTAGTCATGGACAGTATTTTGGGCAAAGAGAGTCTGTTCTGCTCTTCTCTGGCTTTGTTCTCCCTGCTCCAGGTGGATTCCTCCAAAAGTCATTCCCTAGCAATGCCCTGAGGATTGGTGGCTTTTGTGGTCGAGCTGTGGAGGGACAAAAATAATGGTGGTTCTTTTTAAAGCCTGACTTTGCCTGATGTTTCCCTTTAAAAGTGAAGTTTGGGATTCTCAAATTGGTATCTGAAGGGAGAGTTGGTTTTGGAAGAGTTCAGGGTGATTAGGCAAAGTATGGGATAAACAGAGAGATTGGTAAGAAAGTTTGGGTGAATTATTTTGTGTATTTTCCAAGCTCTTGGTTGAGAAACTCCACATCTCTTGTACTCTCCTGGTCTCAAAGTATGAAACCATTCCATTCTTCCAGTATGGAAACTGGGATCCTTTTGGGCTCATGGTCAGCCTTACCTGCACCAATGCCTCCTTTGTCTTCACATTCTGCTTTTTCCTGTGGTATTTTCTCATCTGGGCATCATCCCTGAGATCCACAGGTTTTGTTCTGGGTTGCCACCTCCATTTGCACATCCTTGGGACCAAATTCCTGCATTTCCCTGTCCAGAAACAAACCATGGAATTTTTTGCCTGCTCCACCATCCTGCAATTTCATGGAATCAGAAGATGTTTGGGTGGGAAAGGACCATTAAGATCTTTGAGTTCCAACCCCCTGTCATGGGCAGGGACACCTTCCACTGCCCCAGGTTGCTCCAGCCTGGCCTTGGATGCTTCTAGGGATGATACAGCCACAGTTTCTCTGGTAAAACTGTGCCAGGGCCTTATCACCCTGGAATTGTCCAGAGCCAGGTTGGGTGGGGCTTGGTGCAACCGGGGATAGTGGAAAGTGTCCCTGCCCATGGCAGAAGGTTGAAACAAGATGATCTTGAAGGTCCCTCCCAGCTCAAATGATTCTGTGACTTTGACCTTTAATTAGTAGAAAACATCTCATCCTCCAGCTGTTGGACTCAGCTTCTTCTCTCACACCTTGTTACTCCAGATCTGGATGGCTGATCCATGCTGTGAATCAAGGCAGGGATGAGCTCTGGGCATGGAATTCAGAGCAGGAACATTGGGATCTGTGTGGTGGCTCTTGCTCAACCCAGTGGTGATTTTCCAAGGAACAACCTCGTGCTGCCGCGATTGGCTGAGAGCTCCCACTTGTAGGATCATTTTCTCTGTATTAATCTCCGACTTCATTAAATTGGTGTAGTTTAGATCTTACAGCTGCTTCAGACAAATCTTGATAAAATGCCATCAGCAAATTAAAACAATTATGTTTTAAAGAAGCCATAAATCTCCATCTCCCAATTACCTTCGTTGGGGGTGATTAATCATCTGGCCTGTCTGGAGGAAGCACATGGCAAATGCTTCTCCTGGAGTTTTTATGGGATTTTTTGCTTCATCGTTCCTATCTTGGATCTGTCACAAGCAAGACACCAGGATCTGCTTTTTTCCTGATTTTCTTTGCTCTTCACAAAACAAGGAGAAGCTCTGATGACTGTGGGACACCCCTTTAGTCACCTCATTTTTATTTTTCATACTGAGTAGTCAATTATTTTTAATATTTCTGTTTTTCATTGTAATAATTACAATGTTTTTACAATAATTTGATATTTTTAATACCCTTATCCCCTTAAGCCAGCAGGGGGATGTCACCTGGTGTTGCTGCCCTCCAGTGCTACTCCCAAGCTGGTTCCCAACTGGTACCAAGGAGAAATTTCTTCCATGAAGTCCAGGTTTTTGGGTATCTGGAAGTAATGTGCCAGGGTTTTATTTTGCTGGGACATCCAGGATGTCACCCCTTTTGCCAGTAAATCCTCAAATCACGAGACTAAGATGAAGAGGGATGTGGCTTTGGGAAGTGAGTGACAGGGAGAGTTGCTGGAGGTACCTGATGTCAGTCCCTTGGGAATGAATTCCATCCTCCCCTTCTTGCTGGGTTGCATAAAACTGGGCCCTGCTGCTGACTTTTCTTCGAGGCGATAGGTGGGAGTATATTTTAAATTAATTTTACTCCACTTTTTGTAATATTTTTGTTTTAAATAGATTTATAAGCAACTCGGGGCCTATTTCTCCAAATTTATGAAGATAATTTTCACTCTCTTGATAAGGTGAAATTTACACCTGCTATTTCCATATTAATTCACATTGCTAAGTGGATCTAATTTTCTTCCGTTCTTCTATCTGGTGAGTGTGGCCTTTCCTAATGCAATTTCCCCCTCACTAAATCACTGTGATCGGGAGTCATGATCGAGTTAAATTAACTTAAATTAATTTACTTAATAAGAGCTCCAGATCATTGTGAATGAGGTTAAGATTTATTGATTCTCCTTTTCACTCCTCCCCCTTATCTCCCGCGGCTTTGCTGGGAGCGCCGCTCACAAGGGCTGTGATTTGCTGGCTTTAAATTTCGGTCGCTCCTGGTGACGTTGAGGTTGATCATCTCTTAAAAATCCTGGAGGGAGATGTCCTCTCTCCTCACAGCCTCCCTCTGCTGGGAAAGGGATGAGGGATTTGCCATGGAGGAGTTGGGATGGATGAAGTGTTGCACTGAGATTTGAGAGTGATGCTTCTCCTGCTTCCAACATCTTTCCATGGTCCATGTGGACGTGGCTACCAAAAAAATGGGATGCCCATATGTTATAGAGGCAGCAGAAGAATTCTGGGGTTGATGATCAGAGAGATGGAGCACCTTTCCTACAAGGAAAGGCTGAGAGGATTGGGATTGTTCAGCCTGGAGAAGAAAAGCTTCAGGGTGACCTCAGTGCAGCCTTCCAGTGCCTGAAGGGGCTGACAGGAAAGATGGAGAGGGAATTTTTGCAAGGAATGACAGGGCAAGGGGAAATGGCTTCTCACTGAAAATAAGTAGTGTTAGATTGGATATCAGGAAGAAGTTCTTCCCTGTGAGGGTGGTGAGCCACTTGCACAGGTTTCCCTGAGAAGCTGGATCCCCAGGGTAGAGATTGCAAAGCTTTTAGAGCTCAAGGAGCATTTGGACAACACCCTCAGGCACAGGGTGGCATTTTTTCCTGCATTTGTGCAGGACCAGGAGTTGGACTAGATGATCCTTTTGTGTCCCTTCCAACACAATGGAATCCCTTCTAGGATTCTATAAACACCTTCAGAAAACTTGTCCCTCTGGAGAGCCAGAACCACTTTTAAGACATTTTTGGGAGCAGAGCCCCCTTTGAGTTGAGCTTATAGACCCCCAGTGGGGGAATGAAACACTGACCCACTTTGAAGAGTTTTGTTCTCAAATCCTGCTGCAAGTGTGGAAAACAAAAGTCACCTGTCTGCAAATAATGAGTTGTGTCTGGCACTGCTGGGGAAACTCTGATATTTCTTGCTGAAAACTTTGCGGCGCCTCTTGAGGGAGAATCCTACCCCTCCAGCACTATAAATAAGTAAAGAACAAGATAATCCAACATTTGTCAGAGAAATGCCAGCTCAGGAGAAAGGAGCTTGTCAGTGGAGGATTCACTCGTGTAGTTTAGTTTAGTTTTATTTTTTCCTTTTATTTCCTTCTCTTTTGTTCTGTTCCGTGGCCTGGAGCACGTTGAACAGATTAAGATGGAAACAGTTGTCACCATCCCTGGGGGTGTTCAAGAAATGACTGGATGTGGCACTCAGCGCTCTGGTCTGGTTGACAGGGTGGTGATTGGTCAAAGTTTGGACTTGATAGTCTTTTCCAGCCTAAATCATTCTGTTATATGGTAATTACGAGGATTTCTCCCCCAGGTTTCAAAGATCTGAAGCCTTTAGGGATTCACACTGAAAGATAAGGAGGATGATGCAGGTTTTGGAATGGGGCTCAGCCACATTGGTGGGTGCAAGGTCCACTTCTCTGGGAAAGGGGAGATACAGTTGAGCATCCAAGAGGAGGAGGAACCACCATCCCTTCCAGTCATCCTCTGCAGGAGGTTGGGATATTGTGTTCCAGGTCACTTGGACACATCAGCCTCCTTGTCCCATTCTTTCCTTTCCTTCACAGTGGGTAGTTTTGGGTTTCCAATTTCCTTTTACTCCCTTAACATCTTTTAGACACCAATTGCCAACTGATGGACCCAACTCATGATCCAGTTCAGAGAATCATGGAATGGTTTGGCTTAGAAGGGACCTTGGAAGAGCATCTGGTCCAACCCCCCTGCCATGGGCAGAGTTGCCTTCCACTAGACCAGGTTCTTCCAGTCCCTATCCAGTGTGGCCTTGAACACTTGCATGGGATAGGACCATTTCATCCATTCCCAGGGAAGCCTTCCCGATTTTCCTTTCCATTTTTCTGGCATTTCTTGAGTGCTGTAACAAGTTTCCCTATGGT